TTTACTATAAATTAGTAATACAATTTATAATTATACTCTAATACTTAGAATTATGCTTTCTAATGATTATATTAAATTAATTAGACTGAAGTAAATTTTTAAAAAATTAAAAATTCCTTCCCATTATCCATAAACAGAAAGAGGTAGCAACTGATGAAGAGTGTCCTAAAATGTGTGCTTACAAGTTGGTGACTATCAAATTTAAATGGTGGGGACTGCAGAACAAAGTTGAAAACTTTATACAAAAGGTAAGTGCTTCTCCCTTGCTGGGATGCTGCTGGGGAGGTGGGGTTGGAGGTGGGCAGGTAGGTAGGGAGGGTGGTTCTGTGTTGACATGGGATTTTTTGAGGAGAAACAGTGATGAAGTTTCCCTTTGCTTACAGCCAAACAATTTCTGTTTATTTCTTATTATTGAATGCTTGCAAAACCAGGTATGACACAGGTAGAATCCAGTGCACTAGGATTTAGTTGGCAGTTGTGGTGTTTTGTCAAATTATGTTTCCATCTTATTTCGTTACTGCTGTATCTTCGGAATATGAATTGTAAAATATTTTTAAAAGTATGACTAAATATTTAGAATGTAAACTTATGTGTAGGCAAAGTGTTTAATCTAGACCATCGTGCCAGTTTTCTCTAATCCAGAAAAAATGTGCTGTATCAGTGAGTTAACCAAAACATGATATTCCAGTAGCAATTGGGCATGGTGCTTCCTCACAGACAACCAACAGCAGACTTTTTTCCTTGTGGTAACCAGGCCTCTTAGCTCTGAGTGGACCACACAGCTAACTGCATTCAATGGTTATGAATTTCAATAAATATGATAGCAAAAGAGAAAAGCTTCAAACAATAGTAATTGAAAATGAGATGGAGAGGTAGTTTGTGATGGCCACAGTACAAAGTAAGGGTAAGGAGACATTGGAGACTGTCTTTAGTGTGGTGGTGGTTTTGGGAAGGAGTTGCCCATCACACATTTCAAACTGAACACTGTTAGGGAGTAAGCTGAGCAGAAGAGCCAAGACTGATTCTGTGGTCTAATGAGGAGTATTTGAAGATGGGACGACTTTTTTTTTTACCCATGCTTTACCTGAAGCTGATTCTTTAGAGGAAGTTATCTTTGTCTGCTAGTTGTCAAAAACGTTATGTTAGATTTGATCAGCATTGTTTTTGAGGACGGTCAGCAGCCTGAGCCATGCAGAACCTGGGAGCAGATGAACAAGTCGTGAACTTTAGGTGGCAGCCTGGGTAACTGAATACATGCAGAAGTCTGAGTTTTAGTAGTAAAACAGATTTCTGCGTTGTATATACATGACTACTTTTATCAGAGCAGTCGGAAGCAACACTGGTAATTTTGGAAATTGAACGGTTTATATGATGCATCTTTCATCATCCAAGTCGCCATCATAAAAGTTGAGATTCCACGGTGCTAGAGATGGACTTGAGCTGGCAAGTTGCAGTTCTTCAGCATAACACAGTGGGGTTTTGGGGCTGAAAGGTATTTTGAAATGTGAAACCTACCAATTTAAGTAGAAGAGGTACAGTGAAAATATTCTTACTGTGATCGATTCAGAACACAGATATGTGTACTTGAATGAAAGAGCAGTGGAATCCTTAGCTTGAATATTTATACCCTCAAGGTGTTTGTACATCAGATATTACTGGGATGCTGATTTGGTACAAATTGCAAGCATGCCATCTTTGGAGTCAGAAGTACTTCCCTTTTTGCTTCATTCTGGCTTTAGGAATTGGTCAGTCTTGGTTTTTAATAGTGAGCACAGAACCTGTGACAGTTCTGTCGTAGATTTTTACACAGTTCATGCTAAATATTCTAGCTGTTGTGATGCTACATTTGTTCTGTCTAGTGCTATCTTGGAGTTAGAACAGATTTTAAAAGGATTCTTCAGCATTTTCAAGTAACGTGAATTGCTGAACTTTATTGAAACTTTTTTTGATAGTGAAATTTGTTAATTTTTTCCATGTTAAAGCATGTAAGAAATGAGATGACTTTAAATTGGATCAAGGAATGTGAGGGAGCTGAACTTGTAGCAATGTGAAATGGCATACACCTAAAGAATTATAGCTTTTCATATTGAACAGCTGCAATCACTTCACCAGTCTTTGGCAAAATGTAGGCCTATTACCTAATGTTTGTTTATCTTCTTAAAGCAAGAAAAAAGGATATTTACCAACTTTCATCGCCAGTTGTTCTGTTGGATTGACAAGTGGATTGATCTGACTATGGAAGACATTAGGAGAATGGAGGATGAAACCCAAAAGGAGCTGGAAGCGGTAAGGATGCTTTTAAGGTTGATGTTTGTGTGCTGTCGACCTGTAGCTATACTACTTATCTGTTTGGGAATTGACGCAAGTTACGTTGTGTCCATCCCCTCGTGTGTGTTTGGGCAATCGGTGATGAACATTACAGCCCCTTTAGTGATTCTCCTGTGCAGACCCATGCACTTCAAGCTTCTGCATACTGTGTTGTGTCAAGCAGGAAGTGGCTGTGAGGTAAATATTTCTGATGTCATGAAATCCAGAATGTCTGCCCTGACCACCTCTTTATTTATGGTACCATACCCATTGCACAAAGTCCCATCAGTGCCTTTTTACCACTTGTCAGTTAGAATTCAGAGCTGTCATCTTGCTTTGCCGTCATGTGTCTTGCTTTGTTTCGTTTCTGATCTTCATTAGGTCTGATTACTTTTTCTCTTCAAACATGTCTTCAAGCAAGCTTGAATATGTCACATGACAGCTGTTCCACTCATCCTGATTAGCACACCAAAACTGAGAATTTTACTTGCAAAAAGGAAGTCAGTAAAATTAACAGGCTTGAGGTGGTGTCAATTTTCATGCTTTAGTAGCTGTGAGGACCAAATACATACAGCCTGATCTGTCTTTGAACTGATGTCTAGGAGGAAACTCATCCATAGGGCACTTTCTCTGCTCTTTTAAGAGGTAGAGGAACATCACAGGCTAGGCAGGAAGCCTTCTTGTGTAGTGTCTTTTCAGAGCATGACTTTTGGCATGAACCTTTCCCATTTTAACTCCTGCTGGTTTTTTAAATTCTTCCAGTCTTTGGATTTGCAGTTCTACTTCCTTCCAGTTTTGTCAATTGCTTTATGCCCCAAACCCATTCAGCTTGTCACTTTCTTTCCATTGTCTTGGTTCTTTCAAGACACAATGCGTCTTCAGTTATAACTTGCTTTTTTGCATGATTTAACTCATTTCAGCTGCCAGACATCTTTAAACAGATTGCCTGGTGCTTTAGACCTACTGTTGACAGTGGTTCTGAAGTGCGTTTTGTGGTTTGTGCCCAACACGTCTTTTAGTGTCAAAACTAGCTGCAACTCCTCCATCCCTACTTGTTATGCTCTCCATGTTTGGACTTCATGAACTGTGTGGAGCCATCTTGCATTGTGTAGAGATGTTTTCTGAATTTGGAAGAAGTGTTTCTTCACTGTTCTGTGTGTTAATAGGTAGATGTGCTGAGCTGGTAAACCCAAACTTCCTTTTCAGATACGCTGAAGGGATTGTCTGCTTTGGCAGTTCCCTGCATATGCTTTGGAAGAGAATGATGTTCATTCACTTTTGCAAACATTGTGCTCTCTCATTGGCATTTGGGTATTTTTGATTATGGTAGATGTTCTCTCAAATCACGTGGATTTCTTCTTAAATTCTACTTTATGCCAGAACCTATTCCTAGAGCCACTTATTCCTAGGTGTCTGTGAAGGAGGAAGAGTAACCGCTTTCCTCTCTGTAACTGATTTTTGTCAGAAGGGTTCTCTTTTGCACACCCATAGTTCTTTATTTGGAATGAAACGGACTTCATCAAGTTTCTCTGAGAAAGGATAGTGGCAGTGTGAGGAGTGCATGCAAGGCATGTGTTGGAGAGAGTAAGCAGCACTTGACACATCTGTGTGCATGAGAAAATTTCCCTTTTGTGTCTCTGTGGACTGTGGATGTTTGTCTTGTAGAGAAAGTTCTGTTTCACATTTCTCACTGGTAAGTAACTTTTTAAAAATACTTTTTGCAAAATATTTGCTACTTTTTAGTTCTTACCTTAAGCAAAAAACAGATCATGTGTTTCTGGGTGTAACATTTATCCTTGTTCTTAAATATCAAACATATTTATTTACTATTTTCTTGTTTTGCAAAGGAAAGCAAATAGTTCATTTCAAATAGTTTGTTGTGCAAGACATTAGCATCAGGAACTTGTATCACTTGTTGAAAAAGTCAGTGAGAGGAGCAGGGACCTACTGTTAAATATTTTTTTCTTCCTTAACTGTTCTAATAGGGATATCTACAAACATCTGTAAATGATGCAATTTCAAGGTTTTTGTGGTGAAGTGCATTACTGGAGAATAACCTAAAGGCAAAAATGTCGCTGCCAAATAACATATAAATGCTAATTTTATCCCAAATAATTGGTTTTATGTTTCATATTCAACTCCTTCATCCATTGTGCTAAACAGTAACTTTCATTAAATCCCAAGTATACCACAAAACATTTGTTTATGGCCAGGACCACTGGGAAGTGAGTGCTTAGTGATAAGGTGCTTAATATGACAAGAATATCTTCATGCTTCCATCCCTGCACAAAAGTAGTCGGCTTTTTTGACAGTGTTGCACTATGCAGTTCTGTGATGCTTAAAAACAAACAACTGCAGAAAGCAAGCCTAATAATATTGGCAGCATTACATTTGCTTACATACGTTGCTTTCTGTTGTTATTCCCTTTCTCATTAACACCCTTTCTTCATCCTGGTTTGAGCTAATCTTTCTCTTCGGATTCTGTGCACGTATCAGTTCTTTTGTTGGTCCTGTTCCTCATCTTAAGTCAACTTTTATAGTCAGGATCTCTGCTTTTGTTACTTTTTTGTTACTCTCTTGAATCCTCATCAATGTCCCTCCAGAGCTGCTCTATCCCAGCCCATCCTTTTCTCACTGTTTTTCTTTCTTTCACTTAGTGGTTTATGTATCTGACTCCTGGAGATGAGGAGCACCTGTGCTTCATTAAATATGCATCAGCTAATCAGTGCATAATAGAAAAGCATCTGACCCTGCCAAAGCACTGTGACCGACCTACCTGATGTCTTTGCGAGGGTAGAAATGCCACATTGGGTATTTCGAGTGTGGCTCCATGCTGAAGCATCATTTACAGCTGCTGTACAGTTCCCAGGCTTCCCCACCAAAACTCTGTACACCCCCTCTCCAAAAAACCGCAGCTGTAGCTGAGGCTGGTTCTGGTCCAGGCCAGGGAAAAGTAGTCCTCGTCATGTAGATCATTACTTCTCTCTTACTAACCAACAGCGCGATAGGTTCTTTGTGTGGTAGCTCACAGTTTTATTTTACATTTAGATGCGTAAGAAGGGTTCCGTTCGAGGCACTTTGGCTGCTGACGTCTAGAGGAATTCTCTGTAGGTTCTGAGGCAAATCAAGCTGTGTAAGTCAACTGCTGGATGGAAAAGGAGAAAAGTGGTTAATGTTCTGATGGATGGGAATTGCTGGCAGTAATCATCTAAATGGACGTATATCCAGATAACATTTTTGGGCCTTACCTCCCTCCTGTTTGATAACCTTGTGGTGATCAACAGTTGGAGATGACCCTTGGTGTCCAGGGTACATAAGAGACCTCCACAGACGGGCACGGTAATAGGCTGGGCAGGTGCTCGGTCTGGTGGCAGAATGCCTGAGGCGTTGGCCACATAACCTGGTTCTTTGTGCTTGCCTAGTAGAGAACCCAAAGTGTGTGACCTGTTGTCATCACTGTGCTGGCACTGAGCACTGAAGCCTGCAAGTAGTCTTTTGGGCACAAATCAGAAAAGTCAATGAGCATCATTTTGCTACACGCTCGGTAGCAAAGTGGTAAGTGGACTTAGTCCGCATAACTTAGGGAAACTGTGGACTGTCATCTTCAAAGCATGTTAAGTTCTTGAAATGCAATTCCATGCAGATATTTACAAATACTAAATTGTGTTAAAACTGTTACTGTGGGAAACAGGTTGTCCAAGAGTTGCAAGCGTTTGAGTATTTGTGTCCAGTACTTCAATGCTGGTGTTTCCCGCTGTGACTGTTTTAATACTGCAGATGGGATCCCTGGCCAAAGCAGTTTTAGAATCCCGCTGATTAGTGTGAGGCTCCTCAGAGATGGGAGCTGCTGTCCACCAGTGAGGACAGCATCCAAATTGAGATTCCCTAACAAGTCTTGCATTGCTGTGGTATGATTTGCTCAGTCCTGGTGATGTTTTGACTGCCCGGCCCTATTTTTCTTGGAGATTAATAGAACTGCTTATTTGGAACTTACAGTTTGAGGAAACTATCAATGCTTAATTGTATATTTTCTTTCTCCACAGTTACGTAATCAAGGCCAAGTCAGAGGAACAAGTGCTGCCAATGATGAATGATGATGGATTTAACCGTCACATGCAGTGTTGATATACAAATGTGTGTGTGGATGCATGATTATTTGTATATAATTATATATACGCACATGCATACTGAAGAGGGTTGTTACAGTGTCTCCAAGGTACTAGACCTGTCCTCAGCAAAGATTCAAAGGAAACTGCTTTCATTACGTATACCTGAAGCAAATAAAAATCAATTGAGTAGTGTCATTTAAAGGACGAATTAACTGCAGAATTATGCTAACTGGTATGTTTCATGAATGTCAATACTGGACCAATTTATTCCCTACTTGTGGTTTTGTTTTTTTCTTTTTTTCCTCCTGTCTTGAGTCACTCTGCTATAACTTGCCCATATCTCATTGTAAAGAAACGGATTCAAATAAGTTAATTTCAGTTTTGTGTCTTCCCTATGTGATTATTTTTGGAATAGGAACAATGAATGTATTTATAGCTATTTATTTCTGCATTGTCATTATCCTATAGTCAAATCAGAAAAAAATTTTTATTAGTGGAAATTGGGAGAATTTTACTGTTGAATAAGTTTGACCCAAACTTTACCCATTCACTGACTTAAAAGAAAAAAAATCATGTTTTATTGGACTTTTGTACATTGAAATGCTAATGTTTTTTCTTCATTAAAATTGGCAAGATTAAGGAAAAATGGCTTGTGATTTATAAAATAATTGCAACTTGAAATTTTCCAGAAGCTGGCTTTTTAGACAAAGATACTGACAATACTTGTAGGATATTTCAAATATATTTTAGGCCCTGCAGTGAAAGTGAAGGGGGATGATAGCCCTTCCCTGAAGTAATACTTCCTGTTAATGAAATCGCTGTTTTCCAGAGTTTCACTTTGGAAGCTATGCAAATGGTCTTGATTTCACACACATTACGCAATGGAATATAATTGTGATTTTAGCTCTTTTCATGTTGAAAATACACTTTAAAAAAGATGTATACTTTCAGATATGATGAAAGTTTAAATTGTAGCATCTGCCATATTTCTCTGATACTTGTTAGGAGTAGACATGGAAAAGAAAAGACAGTATAATAAAGACCTTCTGTAGATAACTCTCAAATAGGGAAAATGTCTTCAGCATTTTTTAAGGAAATATTCAGAGCATATCATAGATATATATTATCAAAATTCTTGCTAGATCAGAAACAAATTATTTTAAAAACACTAGTTAGATAAAGTTCTATTAATGCCTGGTTTCCTCCCAGCATCCCCAGAAACCTCGGTGGGGCAAGCCTTGCTTAAGCTTCCATCTTCATAATCTCACATACATCCAAGTATTTTGGAATAATTTTGGACCTACTTTGCTAACGAAAGGAGTGATCTGATTTCCATTACAGGCAGTGACAAAAATTTCCTAAACTTCCAGGGTGGGCCAGGTCTGCCGTACGACTTGCCCTGCCAGGGTGCCTGTCTGCTGTGAGTGCCAGGCACTGACGCGTCTGCCGGCCGTGGGCATTTGTATCTCTCTCCTGTGTATATGCACCCTCCTACCCTCTGTGCTGCAAACTTCTTTTTTTTTTTTTCCTTTCTGAATTAGCAGTTAAGCGGTTACTTGCCCTCTGTACCATCAGGAGGTTGGTTTTGTAAATATACGTAGAGACATGCACACACACACACACACATATACATGATTTTAAAAGCGTTTACAGCCAGAAGGGCTGCTGCACACCTGGGAACCCAAGGGCTCAGTTCTCTCTTCAGTGCTGGAATACAAGTCCCACTGTCATTAATGTGAGTCATAACGCAAACTGAGGGAAAGGGACCCTACAACTTTCATGTTTTTGGACTAGTTGTGAAAATTTGAGAGAATCTTGTAGTGAATGTACAATGTTTAGTTTTCTTTGGCAGTCTCTGGTGTGACCTACAGTAAAACAGTCAATGAAATTTAATTAAATAAATTTGATCATAAAATGCTCTGTCTCTTGTCTTAGGTGTTAGTGTTTGCAGTTTGCTAATGAGCTGGCATTTAGTTTTATTGAGCTGTACGAGAAGGTTGGAAGTCCTCTAAGGATGCACCCCAGTGGTGGTGAGCTCAAACCTGTGTTTGAATGTTAGTAGCGATCGGGGGGAGGGCAGGGCTTGTTTGGATTTTTGTTTTGTTTTAGGACTTCAAGCTGAGCAACACATACTTAGCTGGAACCTTGGCGCTATCTAGAGTAGGGAGAAGATGTTTTGCTTTTCTTGTGTATTATGACTGCCTACCTTAACGTGGCAGGCTGACAATTTTGCAGATACTTGCATTTGATGCCCTTGGTCTACATTGGCTCTCTGGTCTGTGGCTGTCTTGACGTTTTACAGCTGCTACTAATTCTGTATCTTGCCTATGCAAGGCAAGGGTCACCATGCTGCGCAGAGAGGACGGGCTGGTGGAGGAGGAGGCTGCAGCGCTGCCGAGTTGGCGTTAGGGAACGGAGGTGCAGAAGTCACCTTGCCCAGTGCAGAGGCTGATTTCCAAAAGCATGGCTCCTTTCAAGTAGCGGAGCACTTGCGGTGGTCCCCAGAAGAATAGAGAGATGTACTAGACTGGGAGAGGTGAAGCCGCTCGGAGCACCAGAGGTGGAGTCTGGACAGGAGAAGGAGGTTGCGGAAGGTGGGTGTCTCGCGAGCAGCGTGCGGTGCCGGGGGTGCTGATGAGGGCGGTGGCTTCCCTCCCCAGCTGGTCCCATCCTCTGTCCTCGTTGCTCCCCCCTGCCTGGCCAGCACTGCGAAGGGGTTGGCAGCTGCCTTTGCTTCGCAGACCGGTGGCTTCCAGGCCTGTGTGGGGAGGGCAGCGGAGGCGGCAGAGGCAGCTGCTGGACTCAAGAGGGGCTTGTGGAGGAGTTTGTGTTTCTGCCCAGCAGCGCTGCCCTTTCCTGGCTGTGTCACTCATCAGATGTGTCTCCTGGTAAGTTAGCTGGCATCAAGATGAGGAGCAGGAGCTCACTAATGCTGATTAAAACCATTGTCCTATGGGGATGAGAAATCTAGAAATGGACCATGGGCTGCTGAAGCTGCTGGATTTCAGAAAGCATTTGTGATTTTTAAAAGTTTTTTAAAATACATGGTCCTTGTTAGGTAGCGTGGGGTCCTCTGCTCCCCAGTCAGGCCCCAGTAAGTGCTGCAAGAGCTGCTGTGAGTGGAACACGAAGAGACTTTGTGCTTGGTACATACTGGACAAAAGCTTGCCTTTCAGTGCCTCGTTGGAAGCTGGGGCTGGCCTCCCCTCCCTGGCTTCAGTTTTCCTATAATGGAGCATCGCAGTAACGACCCAGTCTTTATTTCGGGTATTTGAAAATAACCTAACTGCTGGAGCGAGGAAGAGGTGATCAGAATTGTGGCAGGAAAAATATTCTTATAAATTACAGAAAGACTTTGAGAGTAATGGCTGCTTATTGCAAGGCATCTTCGCAGTTTTTCCTCTCAGGTCCCAGTGTTCAGCATTTCCTGATGAAGGCTTAACAAACGGGTGTCTGCATTACTGCTTGGAATTGTCTGCCACAAGGCTTTACTCCTGTATTTTTTTCCCCTCTTCTTAGCCCTTGTCACACACGGGCTGTTGCTGACGCGGTAGCTGGCACCGGGTTCGCTGCCTGTCCCTGCTGACCGGGTACGCTCAGGGTTTGCCCCTGACCGCAGAGGCTGCTGCGTGGCTGGAGAACGGCCGAGGGGTGCAGAGCACAGCAGGGGCAGCTGGAGCAGGAGCTGCTGTCGCCCCTGAGCGCTGGGATGCACAGTCGGCATATGTTCTGGGGTGCTGGAAGTGATTTCCAGCGATGCTTTAGTCCAGGGAGGTACCACAGAGACACAGCATTTCTCCGCAGCAGTGGGCGTGAGGGGCAGAGGGTCTCGCGCTAAGGCTCGGTCCGTGCGGGAAGCAGGCTGGCACCTCAGCAGCTGGAGGC